TTCCTTTTTCATGGGAAAAAATAATGTTTTCATCAGGGAGAAGAACCACTTGGGATTGTTATTCTGGGATTTTTCCCCTTTTCTATTCAGAATAGGCCCAAGATGGGGTGGTTTGCCTCCCTGCATGGAAGCAGTATCACAGGACTGGAGGGAGGGTACCCCCCTTGCCAATACTGAGTCCCCAGCTCCTGCCCTTTGGAAAAGGCAGGAACTCATCCAAAAATCACTGCCACACTGTTATCAGTCACGGTCACTTTGATCAGCAGCAAACACCCTCAGTGCCATCCTTGGCCTCTCTGGCACTGCTTGGCACTGCTCACCTCTATTTTGACTGGACTGCTCACACAGCACTGTACCAGAACGCTGGAGCCACATGCCTTGGCATGTCCCTCACCCGGCTGCCTCCTGTGCCCCTGTGGCCACCTCACTGCCTGCCTCTGAGGTCAAGACATCTGAAGAGCGAGGCTTGATAGGACAGTAACAAGAGAATGCTTTGCTATGCTTTTGCCTGTTCTGGGCTCTCCAGATGGCAGAGTGACCCTTTGTCCTAGTCAAGGCTTCAGTTTCAAAGACAGTTTTTTCTGGTAGGGGAACTCCTCAAGAAGATGCTGTTCCTTAGTGAAACCAAGTGTTGAAACCTTCCTGAGTTGTTTTTTTCAATGTTTTCTTTGAATTTTCTTGGAAGAAAACACCATAGCACCAGACTGGGAGCTTTTGGAGTGTTTCTTTTTGTTGAAAAAACTGGTTTTGCTGTTGGATAAAAGACTTTTGGACCAGCTGGTTCTCACCAGAGTCAAACATCACAGGAACTAGGATGATATAACTGCCCCAGGACATATCTACACCTGAAGTAGACAAGACATCCATCTGCTGTGGTCATGCTTCGAACATGATTGTGTTGAAGACCACAGTGAAATATATTTACCGTTTGGCATGTTCTGCTTGGAAATAAACACACGGGCTTGTGATCTCAAATGCTACAATAGTACATTTGCACAGTCAGGAACGCAACTGCTCAGAGTCTGGTCCCCGCTAGGTGATAGATGGCCAAGTTCAGGCTGACAGGATATATGCAGGGCTGTGTGTTAGTGGCAATGCTAAATATTTTTTATTTGACAGTTTCTTTTGGTGTGTGGAAATTGGGAGTGCTGCTCATTTCAGCTGTCATTGGCCACACAAGCACACCACCAGCTCAGGTGCTTTTGGAGGCCATTTCCCTGGTGGAAATGAGGTCTCCTGTCCACGCTGAGAGGACAAAACACCAGTGATCAAGTACCTTCCCAACACTGCTAAATTTGCCCATCTGCACACACACCATTGGGTTCACATATGAGGCCGGCAGTAGTGGCCAGGGATTCTCCATCTCCTGAAGGACCAGTAATCAAACTGGTGAGTCCAATACTCAGTCAGGCATTTCTCCCTGCTGCAAGTCGGTGGTGCGTACCTGTGTAATGCAAGGGAGAAATTACGGTAGTGCCAGTTTCCCATCACCCAAGGATCAGGAGTTTCCACAGCTGCTTCTTGCAGGCACTGCTATATAAATGTCTGTGCCTGGCTGGTTACGATGGGAATTGCCATTCATCACGGCTTAAGGGGGCTTAAGCTGTCTCAGAGCAAGTTGTCAGTTAACCAACGCTTAATATAGATCAATCTGATCAGTATGAGACATGTCCTCGCAGCTAAAAAGCCTTAAACGTTTCAGATGCAGCCGCTTCTGAAGTCTTCTAAGATACCTTCTGCAGTACTCATTATTATCTTCCTGCCGCGGAGAGGGAGCAGTCAAGATAGGCACTTTGTGTTCATTGCCCAGCGTAATATTCACTGGTCTATTTAATTAATGCTTAGAAAATGTACTTCATGAATTATAAGTTACTGGGGGTAGGGAGGGATGGGGAAAGCAGAAATAGATTAACGCTGGCTGATCTTTTAAACTTTTTCCAAAATGATTTTTCTGGTTTTTACACTCAAAAATTCCTGTGGGGTGCTCCCCCTTCTTGCAGACACCTAATTTCTCACAGCAATAGTTTCTGGCTGTCAGGAAACCTCTTGTTGGAACTCCTTGAGGCAAAGCTCTTCGTTGGCTGTATTGCAAGAGATGTAGGTAGCGGAGCAGAGGTGTCGGACACATTGTACTGCCTGTTTCTCTGCCCAGCCCATCCTTTATTTCCTGGATATACCAGCTTCACAGCACATGGAGGAATGCTGCTCTCAGGGGAGTCCTTAACAGAAATCTGAGAGTTGCCCCTTAAAACTGATGATCTTGAAACATGCTGTAAGAAAGGGCTTATAAGCTTAACAGGCAAAACAGACAGAGAGGGGCAGAGGAGGGAGGAGTATTTTCTAAACACAGCACAACAGCCCTGAGCAGCTAAATGGTTTTCTGAAGGTCATGAAGGAAACCTGTGTCCCAGTCAGGAATTTAACCCAGATTTTTTGCTTGGTTCATTGCCTTAGCAGCTGGATGCCTCTTCCTGCCTCCTTAGTCACTGACATTGGTCATTGTAAAGTGCGGTTTCCTTCACCATATTTGGAAAAGGTGGTAACAGGAGGAGGTCTGACAGAGATTCACGATCAGTGCAAAAAACCGTGTCTTTCCCTCCCCTCTCTGTTGTTGCAGCACCGGCTGTGAATTCAGAGAAGTCTGCTCCAGTTCGGGTTTTCTGAGCTCGCCACACAGAAAATCCCACAAGAGTTCTCTCTGCAAATCTGTTTTCTTTTAAGTAGCACCAATTTCCTGGTGCACATGCTTTGCATTTGTCTGGGTGCATGTGTGAGAGCCAGTAGCTCCCCAGTACAGTCTCCACTCTGGAGATCACTTGAGAACTGGGGTTTCTTTGTGAAGATGAAGTATCATGTGCAGGCTCTGAGAGACTCAATTTTGTACAGAAAATAATCTGTGTACAGCTATGTGGAAAGCCTTGGGAAAGATACTTGCAGCCTTAAGAAATGCAATATTGCCCTCTAGTGATGATGAGGATGGCCTCATTTGATCCGGTGAAACAAAAAGCATTTTGGCTAACCTTCACTGGGATTAAAAAATGGAATAAATGTTCCTGTATTCTTCTGACCCGGAATTAAAGATCCCACCATCACAACTTGGAGAGCACTGGTAGTGGAGATAAGCAGAGGAGGTTCTCCAAAAATCATAGAATGTGTAAAATTATCATTTTTCTCCATGAATTCAGCAGATGGAAAGCCAGCTGCAGTCAGAGAGCAGATCTAGTAGAAGGTTCCTTTTTTATTGCAGCATCTTTTTTGAATTTCTAAAGCCAAGTATATTTTTATTTGCCAAAAAAAAAAAAAAAGAGAGAGGCAGTTTCAAGGACAGGAGGTGAAACCAGTGGAAACCAGAAACAAAAGTTGAAATTCTGTGCTTCATGTTCCTTATAGTCAAATATTTTTTTGGTTTTGTTTTTTTTTTTCTTTTTTTATTTCTCATTTGAACTTTTCTGGGGGAGGAAGGAGGGATAACAGCAGAGGTACTTCAGCAGATGAACAAGAAGAGCTCAAAATGTTTCTTTCGCTCTGGCAAGCAAGTAGTTGGTTGTATCTGTCAGGAAATAAACTGTTTTGAAGGGTCTTCAGAAGACACTTAGGAGTACTACAAAGCTCTGACCTTTACCCCTAAGAAGGTTACATTTAAGGCCTTCAATTCTGCAAATAGCTCAACATGGACAATCCCTCCAGTGCTTGTGTGAAGCCCCAGCGGTGTCAGCGGGGCTGTCCCAGACAGTAGGGTCAGGCAGTAAGGTTTCTCTGTAACTGGACCCTACATCTCAACCCAGATTTCTAAGGTATCTCAGTTTTTTAAGTTCCTAATGCAGACAGGATTTCGCTGGCACCTTCCCTATTCTAATTGCCTCTGACAAGGCATGATAGTACTGGAATTTATGTAAGGAACATTGCTGCCACTGTACTGCAACTTAAAGATCACTATAAAACAGGGTGGGCAGACAGATGTATTTTTTTTTCCCTTACTTAAAACTCAAAGTAAATGCAAAATTAACTTTAATCATTCACTGAACCTATGCAGGCTTTCTCTGTTACTACAGGGACACACAGCATACTTACATGTAACGATCAGTCATTAATTTTGACAGTATCCTGAGCTTTTTTCCCTAAAAGGTCACAAAGCAGAATTAAGGGCTCGAGTCAATTCAAGCCAGTGGCAAAACTCTCATGGACTTCACCACCAAAGAATCAAACCTTCAAAGCAGGCAGGACATGAAGTACTGAATTGATTCATATATACCATGGGCTTTCAACATAATTGCAAATATTTGGGGTAATCAGCCAATGCAAGAGAGTGGGTTTTCCTGACACTGAGGGTTTGGGGTAGTCAGCTTTCTACTGAGTTTTGAGAAGTCATCTCAGCTCCAAAAAAAAAAAAAATTAGATTACTGGCATTCCTAGTCATCCCCAACATCGCTACTCACAGTACTGGTAAATTGTGCAAGGTTCTTAATATTGCTGGCTGCTTACTCTGCGACCATAGCTGCTACGTGCTAGCTGCTAAAATACGTAAAGAAGCCCTTATAAAATTTGCTTTATGCAGAGCTGAAGTGGATAGGAAAGGAACCCAGAAGTGGATTTCTGTCAGTGAACATTTTAGAAGGCTCAGGTCAACAGCACTGAAACAAGCAGGTTAGGTAAAGGAGTGAAGAAGAAATGCCAAAATGTGACAGAGAACGAAGAGGAGTTTACAAGCAAACAGAATAAAAGATTCTTTGAAGTTTAAAAACGAGACAAAGGATTATTTAGAACCAAAATAATCCACTTGATCATCCAGTTCCTTTGGTATGGCTGGGGTGGTGGTGACTGATCATGTCCTAGAGCACACACGAGCCTCTTTCATCACCCCAGTCTGTCATAAGCCAAGAAACTTCATCTTTAGTATAGTCATCATGACTCCGTTGACTATATTTTTGATCTAATGAGTGCATTTTTATGTTTTGCCCTAGTTCTCCCATGTGTCTCACCTCTCTTGCTTTCCCTTTCAGGTTCTACATTGAAAGCATCTCCTATCTGAAGGACAATGCCACCATTGAGCTGTTTTTCTTGAACGCCAAGTCCTGCATCTACAAGGTAAGAACTCAGGGGACTCTGGGTGGCACTGGGGTGGGCTGAGACACTTGGGTCTGCAGCCCCTGACCCAAAATTTACATTGTTCACATCCAGACTTCAAGATAGAGAAGACTCCAGGGAGACCTTATAGTGGCCTTTCAGTACCTAAAGGGCCTACAGGAGAGCTGGGGCAGGACTCTTTATCAGGGAGGGCAGCGATAGCACAAGGGGTAACGGTTTTAAACTGAAAGAGGGGAGATTTAGAATAGATATTAGGAAGAAATCCTTTACTGTGAGGGTGGTGAAACACTGGCCCAGGTTGCCCAGAGAAGCTGTGGTGCCCCATCCCTGGAGGTGTTCAAGGCCAGGCTGGATGGGGCTTTGATCAACCTGGGCTGGTGGGAGGTGTCCCTGCCCATGGCAGGGGGGTTGGAACGAGATGATCTTCAAAGTCTCTTCCAACATAAACCATTCTATGATTCTATGATACGTCTTCCTCCTCTTCCAACCCTCCTTCGCACCTCTGTCTTTAACGTCCCCAGCACTTGGCAGCATCTTTCTTGTCAGATAGAGGTTCTGAGGTAAAACAATCCTGGAAGTAACTCTTGTGGTTTGCAGGAGGGAATCCAGCTGCTAAAATTATAAACTGTTTTGTATTTAGAAGGAAATGTCTGGTTTTGTGTCAAAACCCCGCCGCTGTTGAGGCCTGCTCTGTGCTGAGTGGATGCCGTTAGGGGTTCCCGCCCGAAGAGGGCGGCAGCGGCCGCGCGGGCTGCGGCGCGGGCGCCATCTTGTGGG